AACTAGTGTCCCTGGCTGCCACCGCAGCAGTGAGGTGAGCCAGGGTAACTGGAGGAGCCCCGTGCAGGCAGGAAGAAGAGTCCAGAGGCCCCGGGCGACACCATCCACAGTGGAGGGCCTGCGGGTCGGGGCTCAGCTTCCTTTCCAAGGTTGTCTGAAGGGGGACAGGATCAGGCAGGCAGCCTGATCCCAACTGGAGGCTGAACGAGCCCTCCCGTGTGCCTTCTGTGTGGCACCRGAGCCTGGAGCTGTGGCACTAATGCCTCTCACGTGCCTGTGTCTCGMTGCTCCAGGAAGCCCCCAGCCTGCTTCTCCCTGGCTTGGAGGAAGGAGCACAGGACCAGGAATTGGGGACCTTGGTGTCTACCCCAGTTCTCTCACCAACCAGCAGGTCACCTCTGCCAACTGAGCAACCTCTCTGACCTCCTTGGAAGTGACAGTGCCTGCCTTGCTTCTCCAGATAGGACGGGAAGGACCGGTAGGTGGAAGTGCTGTGCAGAGTAGAGGCCTCTCTAGATCAGGTCCCGGACACACCCACAGACCCTGAGAAGACCGAGGTGCTGCCCGGATGGCACAGCTAGAAGCCAAATGCAAGTGTCTGCATTGTCCCATCTCTGTCCTGACAGCCAGGCAGGCGGCGTCTTGAGGAAATCTTAAATGTGACTCTTAGTGCAAGCCTTAGAGGCAGTTGCAGAGGAAGTAGGAAGGTGGAGTTAAGGAGCAGGTGTTTGTGATGTGATTCCAGTTTTGTAAAACAGAATTTAAAAACTCGTGTGTGTATGTGTGAGTGTTTAGCTGGGAAACTGGTCCCGCCACAAAGCTCTTTTGGCAGGGACGTATACCTGGGGGGACTTGGGGGGAAATTCATCCTTCTCTCTTTTATGCATCGATGTGCATTTGAATATTAAAATAAGTATATTACCTTAATTGTTTATTAAAAAAACAAGAAATCAGTGCAAATGTTTCAGAGGAATTTTGCCAGAATCTTCCACTTGCCATGTTTCAGGCACCTAACTATAGTTTTCTCTTCTACAGAAATGGGTCAATAGCATTTGTAATAGATGCATTTTAAAGGCATTTATGTAAAAGACATTGGGGACATATGATTATGTGGCCCAGGGGTGAGTAAGAAAATGGTATCAATGCTTATTTTGCTCTAGGCACATTACTAAGGTCCTCCCCATATCCCTCGTAGGTAGAGTTATTATTATCTCTATCTTAAAAGTGAGGAAGGTAAGACTCAGAGAGGTTGAGTAACTAACTTGTCTCAAATCACACAGCTGATAAGTGGCAGGTCCTGGATTTGAACCCAGCTATTTTTGTCTATCCCTCCCCACCCCCCACCCCTCKCACCATTCTTTCCAACACGAGGGAAAGAGTGGAAATGCTCAAGGAGAAGCCCCAGAGAGGGGTTACAAGACCTGGAATCTGGACCCTGCTGCTACTTAAAAACCATGTGACTGTGCATGACTCATGGATTTCAGTTTCCTCTCTGAAATGGCGATAATGCCTTTCTCACCGATCCTAGTGACAGGAGTAAAGGAACTAGCACATTCAGATACCTGCTTCTTGTCTGGCACTTGGCATCTGTGAGCTCTTTTCATCTCTTTCTATGAAGTTCAAACGGGGTAGAGCGTGTGACAGTCTAGAGGGGAGCCACAGGGGCTCTGCGCGTCAGAGTGGTTATGAATGGTAGTAGGACCTGCTCTCGCCTGGCTCAGTCTCCTTGGAGAGGGAAGTGAATCTGATGTTGAAACATCCGCTCTGCCCACGAGCCAACAGCCTGTTTAACCCTTCTCTGGCTCCCCGGCTTCCTTTGCAAGTGAATGTTTTGCTCAGAAAGTTCATGGGAGTCAGGCGTGGTGGCGCACACCTGTAATTCCAGTGGCTCAGGAGGCTGAGGCAGGAGGATGCTGAGTTTAAAGCCAGCTTCAGGGGCTGGGGATATAGCTCAGTTGGTAGAGGGCTTGCCTAGCATGCACCAGGCCCTGGGTTCAATCCCCAGCACCACATAAGAAATATATCTGCACCTGGGGTGGACTCAGCAACACATTATGCACTTAAAAAAAATACAAAATAGAGCTGGGGATAAGACCCCGTGGTTAAACACCCCAACGCTCAATGCCTAGTCCCATAAGTTTATTTGAGAACTTGTGCTGAGCAGCTTCAGTTCTGCCTGTTGCTCTGCCTCCTTGACCCTCACACAACAATGGCCGAGAAGGAGTGAAATTTTCCATGGCCGTGCCCCTTTCCTGGAGGTGACAATGCCTGGTTGCCAGGGGTTACTGGCACGCCTGCCACCACCAGCCAGCTCGCCTGGGCATGTCCAGTCTTGAATTTGTTTCTTGTGCACATTCTCTAGGGACAGGAGCTGGGGCTGGGGTTGGCACCGCAGTGTGTGTGAGTGGAGCCCAGGGCGGCCCGGGGGGTTCTTGGCTGGACGGCTCTGGGCCAGGGACCTGGCAGAGAGAACACAGCMCCTTTGCCGATGCCTCCTCTGCCTGAGAGCCCGGGAGCTGCTGAGAGCTTTAAGGCCTCTTAGTCCACAAGAAATTCTATGTATACATATTTTTTTGTACCTGGGATTGAACCCAGAGGGACTTCACCACTGAGCCACATCCCAGCCCTTTTTGTATTTTACTTAGAGTCAGGATCTCGCTGAGTTGCTTAGGGCCTTGCTAAGTTGCTGAGGCTGACTTTGAACTCGTGATCCTCCTGCCTCAGGGAGCTGCTGGTATTACTGAACTTGGTATGAGCGACATTCTAAGGGGAGGGACAGAATGGTGGAGATGTGAGCGAGTGTGTATGTGGGGGGGTGGGGGGCAGAGGAAAAGAAAACATCTGGAGATCTGTAGAGACAATAGAAATAGGAAAACTGCAAGGGCCGTGGACAAAGCCCCCAAGCCCTTGGCCCCTTCCCACTGGGGTTCTTACAGAGCCCTGGAGCAAATGTGCTGGAGGGATCCCTTGACTCCTCCCTCCCTCCCTCCACCCACCACCCATTCCCATGTGCATGGGGGTGGGTGTTCAGTGTGGAGCTGGTGCTCCCGGGAGTTTTCTGCAGTGTGCCTTGACTTGTACTGATGCTTCTGGGCCATATAACAGGGCACGCATCTGCCGAGTCCTGCACCAGGAGTTGCCTGGCTTGAGGGGCTTGTGATGATGCATGCACCTGAGCAGGTGGGGCTTCCTGCCGCCATGACAGCTGGGGTCCCATTCTGCTTTTTCCCTGGGGCTTCTAGGCCCTCGTAGGGTGGGACTTAGCTGTCTCACAATGTCAGCGTTCCTCTGTGTGCTGAACTGCACCTTGAGTGGGGAGGCAGGTGGCTGTGGAGCTAAGGAGAGCTCTGCCTTTTCTAGAAACTTCTCCCTGTTTGGCTAGAAAACCCCAAATCTCTTCTTAGGTCAACTCTTCGCAGAGTAGGAGCGGGACGTCGCTGCCCTGGCTGTGTGCTTTGAACCAATTCCTTAGCGTTTTGGAGCCTCGGTTTCTGCATCTATAAAATGGGGCTTAGGAACTTCTGCCTGACAGAGTCATTTTGATGTGAAAGCACTTGACAAATAAACATAATTATACAGTATTGTTCCTGCAGCCAGTGTGTGAGTTCCCCTTCTGGGCAGGCAGTTGGGGGTGGGGATTACAAAGGGCTGTTCCTGGGGAGCTCACAGGGTGTCAGAGGAGATGGACATGGCCACGATCCCACAGTCCTGAGGTAGCCCGAGGAGTGTGGGAGTGACAGCGCCCGCAGCCTTGAGTGGCAGTATGTCTTTTTGCAGGGTCTTGCTCCTGCTCAGCCGATGTCCATCTGGAGACCCCTCCATCTCTCAGGAGCACCATCTTGTCATTGGGTTCTCATTAAAGACGTGCCCGGGCTCGCCCTGCTGGGGATCTAGTCTGAATTTGTTTATACGGCTCTTCAGGCCCTGCCAGATTTAGCTCTTGACAGTTTGACCAGTGACCTCCGTCCATGTCTGCTTGATCCGTGTTGAATAGCAGGCACCCAGTAAGCGCTTCTCTGGGGAGTGCTAGGGAGCCCAGGACCTTGTGCAGGCCAAGCAGGCACTCCCCCACCTTGCCACACCCAGCCCCCTCCCATTAAACACTTCCCGAGAGAGTAAGTGGGAAGATACTATGAAGGAAGCACAGCCAGTGACAGCCAGGGCCCTGAGGTTAAGAGGAGAATGGGGGACCCAGGAAGAGGAGCAGGTTGGGTCGGCCCTGTAGAAGGGTGTAGGGGTGTCCACTTGGAGGTATGGGCCTATTGGCCCTAGCACATGGGCATGGGGGCTGTCTTCATATATTCTGAGAGTGGGGTTAAGGTCTTTGTGCTCTGGACCCGTCACCCCATGTTCTCGGAAGGCCCTAGTCCCTTGGCTACCATTTTTCTTTCTAGATGTCATGCCCAAGGAAACCCACCAGTACAAGTGTCTCCTGATAATGATAGTCGCTGTGTTCCAAGTGCCTCCGTGTCTCATTTGATCTTGCCAAACCCCACGAGTTAGGCTCTATTTATTATCTCAGGTTTTCAGTGGAAGAAACGGAAATTCACACAACTTTTAAGTAAGAGAGTTGGGACTTGAATCCAGGTGGCTGACTCTGGAACCCTTGTTCTTGACCTCTGTGGCACTGCTGTCCTTGGGGAGCCAGCCACCTCTCACAGTGGGAAGAGACTCGAGGTGTTCCTTACGTGGGAGGAGACTTGCCTCCGTGTTGTCCTGGGGGACTGACGGGCAGTTTCTATGTCATATTCAAGGGCTGGAAAAGACGGTGGAATTGTCTAGTTCATCTTGCGGTGAGGAACGGGGGCCGGCACGTTTGCAGGCCTGCTCTGGGAGGTATGGTTGATGGCAGCTGAGTGGCCTCGTGTTGTGTGACGTGGAGGAGCTGGATGGTCTCGGGTCCACAGGTTCCTCACCCTGCCCTGTCCTCCAGCGAGGCTGGAGCTGATAGGACCTTCCACAGCCGCAGCCTCACTCTCCTTCCCTCTCTCCTCCCCCAGATTGATAAGTATCTCTATACCATGCGGCTCTCCGATGAAACTCTGATAGATATCATGACACGCTTCAGGAAGGAAATGAAGAATGGCCTCTCCCGGGATTTTAATCCAACTGCCACGGTCAAGATGTTGCCAACCTTTGTAAGGTCCATTCCTGATGGTTCAGGTGAGTCTCTCACCCGGAGAATTGGCTCTGAGGGCTGAAGGTTCTCTGGAACCGTCCTGCCACCTCTATGAGTTCATTCATTCATTCATTCATTCACTCATTCACTTGCCCGTCATCTGTTCTCCCATCTGCCCATCCACTGGTCAATCCAGCCATCGATTGACTGACTGATTGGTTGACCCAGCCATCTGTCTGTCTGTCCTCCTATGTCTACTGAGATTTACCATGTGCTAGGCACTGGGGTCACCACGTTGGACAAGGCGGACCTTCCCTTGTTGGTCTGTTGGTGTGGTGGCTTGTGATGCTTTGAAAATGTCGTGTTTTGGATTTGGTGGAAAGCTCTGTGGGTGGCTTTTATGTCTCCAGAAAAAACAAAGGTTCGTTTTAGGAGAATCTCTCCATCAGGGCACCAAGCCCACCTCCCTCCCTGTGGAGCCCCAGATAAGTAGCAGTCCTAGTGGCCAGGTGGTTCTCGGACCCAAGGGGGGATTCGAGTTTGCCTTTGAACTCATCCCCTAGATGCTGAATCCAGGCAGCCTCAATGTAGAGAAACGAAGAAGGGATACAGAATTGAAAACCAAAGTTATCCTCTTAGTCTGCGTCCCTGTGGCTCATGCTGCTGAGGGGTGCCCTGAGGATTGTCAGTGCCCCTTCCCAGAGGATGGCATCAGCCCCTCCCTCGGCTCTGGTCTGCTCTGTGGATTGTCTGTCCAGCCAGTTCTCAGTGGTTGGTTTGCAGAGGTGGGTTCTAAGCCTTGGCACTTCAAGAAACCCCGTTGGTGCACTAGGCTGGAGTCCACCTGCTGCATGTCACGGGGAGGGAAGTCACGAGGAAGTCAGGTTCCTCTGGTGAGTGCACACCTGGGAGTGCGTGACCTTCACGCCCCACTCTTGTTCCTGCTCTGGGGGCTTTTGTTTAAAGCAGCTTGTGTGCAGCCTGCAAAACAGACGCGAAAGCGCAGGTGTTGCTGTCAGGGGCTGGAGTGGGGGAGTCCTGCTCTGCTGACAGCTGCCTGTGGAGCTCCCGGGGCAGTGTGGGACATGGGAGGGGTGCATGCCGTTTGCCGTGTGGCTGTGGATGGGCTTTACCTCGTGCACACTCATTGCCATTGATACCTGTGACCTTTCTTTAGCTGTTCAGTAACAGACTCCACCTCTGTCCTTTTGTTTACTTGGAGGTATTGGTTACTAGCAGTTTAGCTTTTTAAGAAATCCTGAGTGGGTTCTGGTCAGCAGTGTGACCTGAGTCTGGTGTGCCCTGGGTGTGTTCTCATGCCTGGGTCTAGGGGAGTTTAGACCCTTCTAGATTAGTTGCATGTTTTCTCAGCCCTGGATGGGAATACAGGAGCCTTCTCAGGACTAATGGATTGGCTGAGAGAAGAGGTGGAGGAGGGGAGCGCTGTGGGCCGCCCCAGGGGAGCTCCTGCTTGGGCTTGGCTTGGGAGATCTCCAAAGGATACCTGATCCCGGCATGCACCTGGTCCTTTGTGAGCAACACATGGAAAGAGGAGGAGCAGGTGCCTTCCCACCAGCTTGGCTCCCAGGGCTCTGAGTCAGTAGGGTGCCTTCTCCCTTATTCTTCCCATCAACCATTTCCAGGGTCGAGGGTCTCCAACTGTGCTAGTAATCTAACCATTTGCCCCCTTTGTTGTCCCTCAAAACAAGGCCCAGAACTAATACTCTTTTGGGAAATATATCTTCTAGTTCCTCCTAAAGCTTCATAGTAGAGCCAGCGTGGTGGTGCACACCTGTAACCCCAGTGGCTGAGAAGAAGCTGAAACAGGAGGATCATGAGTTCAAAGCCAGCCTTAGCAACTTAGTATGGCCCTAAGCAACTTGGTGAGACCCTGACTCTAAGCAAAATACAAAAAAGGGGCTTAGGATGTGGCCTAGTGGTTAAGTGCCCCTGGTTCCGTCTCTGGTACCAACAAAACAAAACAAAACAAAACAAACAGTAGATATAACCTACTAAAGGGCCTGAGAGCCCTGCAGGGCAGAATCCTTTAACTTAACATCTGCTGTCACAGTTCATCTATTTTGAAACACTCATTCTTTTGTTAAGTTTTACTATCTCTGAAATCAGGAATATTTTGTTTAATTATTGCACCTCTAGTTGTTATTGGCAACAGTTTTTCTCTGTTAATGTTACCTCAAATAAAGGTATTACTCACAATCAGTGACTTAAATATGATGAGCGTGTGGTTGTCAGCCCATACTGGGGACACTGTCAGAAGGCTGTGGAATTGGAGCCAGTGGCCTGGGCCCTTCTTTTGAGCCTCTGTCTCCTCCAGTTCTGATGGGTGCTGTTTAGGCCTCTCAGGAGCACCGACTAGTATGGAGAGCAAGAGAAGGGGCAACACCAAAGCTCTGAACCCGAGGGACCAACCCAAGTCCTCTGTGCACAGCAGGATGGGTTCCTGGAGCTGGTACTGAGGACGCCAGCCACTGGACTAGGCCCACACCAGTGACCTCTCCTTAACTTGGTCACATCTGCAAAGCCTCCATTTCCACAGGTAGGGACTTGTTAGGACTCCAACAGAGCTTTTTAGGGGAACAATGCAATTTAAAACAGACCCTATAGCCCTTTCTCCTATAGGGTCTGCTCTTGATGTTCACGGATGGGCTCAGTTCATAGGTCCTGGGGCCCACACTCGGCTTGGAATGGTCCCTGCAGCCACCAAGACATTGCTACTAATGGGAAGGTCTCAGATACCTGACCCCAGTGTGATCCCTGCCCCTTGGTGAAGGAAGGGGCATCCCCCACGCTTTGCCCTGGCTCAGGGTTCATCCTTCAAGAGCCTAGAGGTCTCTGGGGTGATCAGAAGGCAAGTCTCTTTACTGGGATGCGGTGTGCTGATCACTGCTTCCACTGTAGTAATTAGTCAGCAACAGAAATAGTGATAATCCCAAACCTCAGAAGGACAGATAGAGCTCATTGGTGGAAAAATTCTCCAGCCTGTGAGGTGAAGTTGGGATTTCCAAGGCGCAGGAGGAAACCAACCTTGCCCCTCCCGCTGACCTTGACCCTGGTGGAGTGGACTCAGTTTTGGAATGCTAGGGATGCCTCAGAAGGATGTGTGAAAACCTCTGATCTATACATTCTGATATGTATCAGCCCATTTAAAATCAACTTTCCCGCTTTGGCCATTATGGACAATGATTTTTTTCTCGGTACACTTTTCCAGCTGTGCCTCATTCATGAAACCTCCCTGTTATCTCCTCTTATTTATCACTAGGGCTATTGTAGCAAGCTAACTTAGGGTGCATAAAGTTGGGCATTTCTTTGTTTCTCGTTTATGGTTTCCAGCATGTTCTTTACCAAAGGAGAAGCAAGCAGATATTTACTAGAAGTTTTGGGATGTCCCATTATCTTTTTTTTTTTATATGCAAACTGAATGATTTATATTGTGGTCATAGTTATTTTGGGGCCCTGAATATAAATAGTCCTGTGTTCCAGCCAAAGGAAGAAAAAGACTTCCCTTTTCTTCCTGTGGTGTTAGGTTGTCTCAGTTTTTCTGCCTGGAAAGATGGTTGGCATATCCCAAAAGGTGCCTCCATCTGAAATCTGCACACCTAGTGGTGTTCTGGTGTTCTTTTTTTTTTTGGTACTGGGGATTGAACTCAGAGGCATTTACTGTTTAGCCGCATCCCCAGCCCTATTTTGTATTTTATTGGAGACGGGGTCTCACTTAACACCTCACTTTGCTGAGGCTGGCTTTGAATTTGCAGTCCTCCTGTCTCAGCCTCCTGAGCCTCTGGGTTTACAGGCGTGCACCACTGTGCCTGGCTTCTGGTGTTTTTTTAAAAAAATTTTTTTTCGTTATACATGGACACAATACTTTTATTTTATTTTATTTATTTTTATGTAGTGCTGAGAATCGAACCCAGTGCCTCACACATGAGAGGCAAGTGCCCCAGCTCCAGCCCCAGCCCCTCTGTGGGGTTTTTGTTGAAGGTGTGGAATTCTTGCCAGGGGCCGGATTGCAGGTAGCAGGGAATGCCGCTGGAGCTCCTTGGCAGCGCAGGGCAAAGGTAGGCACATCATGAAGGTAGATTTCTGTTTACCCTGTATTCCAGAGCAGGCCCGCACTCGAGAGACATCTGTCCCTGTGTTTGTTTTTCATTATTTGGTGGTAATAATGGCTATCGTTAGAAAGGAGAGAGTTGCCAGGGCCCTTCAGAATGTTCTGTTTAATGAGCCTTCTCTTGAAGAACTGTTGTCCTGGCTCAGTGGGAAGGGGAAATGTGGGGAGAAGCTGCAGACAGGAGGCCCCAGGAGCCAGGAAGGCGTTTTTGAGACCTCAGATTTGAAGTGGAAGTTGGAGGAATGTCCACTGCTATAGAAAGAGGTTGAACTTGTCGTTAAAGGGGAAGAAGTAAATATTACAGAAATATAAAATGTGGATCAGTCTCTGGTGCTGCCACTCGCTGTCTGTCTGATCTTGGGGAAGCCACTTCCCTTCTCTGAGTCTCCATTTCCTCATCTGTAAAATGGGCCTGAGGGTTCCTGCTGTCTCATGACCAAGTGAAAATGCTCTGGAAACCGTTATGCACTGTGAGAATTATAGGGGGTCTCATCATCAATGTGGCTTAGAACTGGCTTTGTAAGAAATCTTGGGGGCCTTTCCTGATCAGTGTGGATAGTCAAGAACCCCACTCCTTGGTCCTAGATGTGTGAGCCAGTCYCTGGAGGAAGGGTGCGGGATTTTTAGCAGCTCACTGGCCTCTCTGTGATGTTATGGGAGAAGCCTGTCTTACCTGCACCAGAGCACCCCGCCTCTGAGCTAGCCACAGGAAGTGGGGTGAGCTTCCAGGCTGCAGTGTTGGTTCCTCTGTAATGGGGTGACTGTCCCCCTTGGCTGTGAATTGGGATCCAACCTGAAATAAAAGGGATGATATGTTCCCTTTGTTATAGAGGGGAGAGTGGGTATTTGGGGAGAACACCTTCTCTGAAAAAGGAATATTGRACTCGGGAGCCTTCTGGTTGTTGCTGAAAGAAT